CAAAATTAAATTTTTCAGTTTTTTAAATTTTTTTACGCTACTTTATTATAGAATTATTTTTTTTTACTGTTAAATATTGTCTGCAAAATGGCCAATCTTCTACCAAAGTTGGAGTACTTGTACATGGAGTAGAGGTTACAGGTCAGGTACAAAAAGCACAAACAAATTCCCAGGGTTTTTCTACTTTTATGCATAAATCGTACACAAATAGAAGTATTGGTCGAGCACTGGGCTGGTCGAGCACAGGTACTGTGACTCTATATAAAATGGGACGAGTCATCAGCGGCGCGAAATGATATTAGCAAAGATTTAGCTCCCCTGGGTAAAGGTCACGTGCATTGTTTACTAGCATGATTCATTGGGAAATGTTGACCGGTATTTGTTTTTTACACCCCTGCTTGTTACCCTTTATGGCATAGATGTCTGCATCTGCAATTGGTGCGACCACTGCACAAATAAGACTAATTTTCTGTTCCCCGCGAATTATGTTCGAACAAGTCTGCAGCTTTTTGTGATCTGGTGATATATTAGCATTTCAGTACGGGCGATTGATAGACCGCAATTGATGGCCATGAGAGAGACCCATAATAGCCAGAAAGTTCTATATACATTTCAGGGCCAGTTTTGGCGAACTTTCGAGAAATAAGAAGAAACACAATTATTCATAAATTATTTATAGCTATTTCGGCAAAATGTATATTTTCATGTCAATCATAATCATGTTTATAAATAAACCTGATTTGTATTACAGTAGATGTTATAAACATGTGTAAAATTTAATAAAGATAAAGCATTGTCATTGATCAGTTATTACACAGATATACTCACTAACTCAGTACTGTACTGTAGAGGTAATGTAAATTTCTGACAGGTGTCAGTTATTGCATGGAGCTAAATTTTAAATTGTTTATATATCTGTGGTTATTGGCATTATATATTGAAATCATTTGTTTATTACATATGCTTGTTTTGTGTTTTATTCCAGGATATTTTAACCAGACTAATTAGAAGTTACAATATACAGTATAGATCCAAGAGACTTTAGTTTTATCCAGAGGTACATTTTCTTGAGTTTCTGTGTTTTCAAAATTTAACCCATTTTGGGACTGAAAGATACGCATGTACATTTTTAGTCCCAGTGACATTCCACAATGGAAGATTTGATTTTACCAAATATAAACTACACTTTTTTTTTTCATTGTTAATGGAACTATATTCACGAAAGCAATCATCAAAGTTTGATATTCTTATTTTTTAAAATAGTTTTTATTTTAACTTTTCACTGACTAAAATGACTCCTATGTTTATGCCGTCTCTCTAGGGCCTTGTCTGTGTGTCTGTGTGTGTGCCTCTCTGGGGCCTTGTCTGTGTGACTGCCTGCATTCCAATGTTGTTTCACATGTAGCTCTTAAAGTGCTTGAGCTTGAGTCAACAAACTGTACAGAAATGTTGATCAGCATGTGAAGTTGTGCACTTGGGGTTTCGCATGTGGATTAATTCAGTTTTGTCAGAGTTATTGCGCATGACTTTGTAAAAATTTGAAACTTTTTATTTGTGTCACACATAGCTCAACAAATATAAATTTGACCTAGAGTCATGAAACTTTTACTGGAGTGTTGGTCAGCATGTGTATTTGTGCACCTAGGAGCTTTCTTCTGGATTTATTCAGTATTTGTAGAGATTTTGCCCTAATATTAAAATTTGCAATTTTCAACTTGCGTCCCACTGTTGCGCATAGATAAAAAAGTATTTGACCTAGAGTCATGAACCTTTAACAAAAATGTTGTGCAGTTGTGTGCCCAGGGCTTGCTTCTTGATTTATTTGTTACATGTATTTGAAAAGTTATTGCGCTTGAGTTAGTTAAAATTTGCCATTTTCAACTTGGGTCCTGCTAGTCATACTATACATCAGTAGACTGACAAAACCTTCTGGGGGCATCCTTGGCCCATGTATTTGTTTAGAGTAAATGACATCTAATAAGTTCATTCACAAGATACTACTAAAATTGAGAAGTATATAGAACGATTTTTTATGCATTTGTTTAATTAGATTCAGGTGATTCCCGTCCAGATTAAATAGAAGATATGGCGGAAAAGTCTCCAAATGATGAAAGTGGCCTAGATGATTCAATATCTGGTGAATTTCCAGAAAATGCTGATAGTACTGAGAAATCACAGAAGTTGAATGAAAGTGATACAGGCACGGTGCCTAAAAAGATACGTCTGCATACCCCTAGTCCTGGTCCTGAGCCATTCATGGTACAACGTAAGATATGGGCATCTGTAGTAACTTTTTATAATAATATTCATGGTTTATAAGGAATTTTACATATAAATTATTAAACAATGAATGATATCTTTGTCAGGCATTGGTAACATACATATTACAGTGCTTTTTGCAACATGATTTTATGTAACCATTCATACTAAAATCATCACCTACTAAGTTGCATTGTTATTGTTGTTTATGTTCATATATAACAGTCAGTTATCGCATTTTGTTTATTCACAACCTCACATGTTTGGTTCACATTTCAAATAGTGTTTGTCATTAAAATTGAAAAATAAAATAGTACTGATAATATTTTTAAACACAAATCATACAAAAATATGTCATTTAAATTCCGGGGATGGCAAATTTCATAAGCATAGTTATGATATAAATTTAAACATACTGAATGTTTATTTTTCCAGCATCTCCTCCAAAGTTTGTAACATTTGATGACTTGATGGCTGCTGCAAGTGGTGTAAGGAATATGAGTCTTGCCCATGAGATTGCTGTTGATTCCAACTTTAAATTTGAGAATGTGCAACAACCTGGGTCTAGGTAGGTTTATTCATGTATGCCATAGACTGAATTTAGGTTAAAGTCAAGAAATAATTGCCCTTTAACTCTTCAATTTCACCCCTATTGAAGATAAATTGCATTCCAGATTCTAACAGTACCATTAAAGAATAGTCTAATTAATTTTTGTGATTCATAAAATTTGCTTGCTTTTTAAAGTAAGTCATTAAGTGTATTAGCAGCATTCTGGTTATTTGCCACAGTTGTTAATAATTACTTTCCTTGAAAAGTTTTTTTTAGAAAGTAACCTGCTGTAACTATTAATAATATTATATACATGTACAAGTTACTTGTACAAAGTCAAGTTAAAGTTGTACTGTATGTACATGTATGCTGTTTTTCTTACCACACTTGTTAGCATGAGTATACACAGAATATAGGGGAAAGGGGAAAAGTTTTATAATGATGAAGAAATATATGCACAAACAAAAAGAATATACATGTAAATAGAATTTTACTGGAATAATTGAGCGTTGTTTTACAGTCTGCAAAAGCAAGTGAAAGAAATTATACACAAAGCATTCTGGGATGCATTCAGTGAGAAGTTGGAGGAAAATCCACCTGACTTTGGACATGCTGTGGTTCTCATTAAAGAAGTGAAAGAGGTAAATTTTATATGTAGACAGACTTTTCTTGACACTTTAATCAGTGAATATTTCAGTTCAAAGAACAAATGTCAATTCCATATGCCAAATTTTTATACCTGATATACAGTCATCAATTTATTTATTTCCTATAATTTATGTAAGCACTAAGCAGGTTATACTATTGCCTGAATTAGGTTTTTTTTTTATTTCTAAATTTAATTTCAGTGAATTTGTCAGTATTTGATCATAACTATATCTGTTAAATAGAATTAATAATTTTATGTAAAGAACTATTGATTTATATACATTACAGGAACTTTATTTGTTTTCTTAGAGTTTGATGTCTGTGTTATTGCCCCAGCATAAACGCTTACAGTCACAGATGGAGGAAGTTCTTGATCTAGATCTTATTCAACAGAAGCTTGAGAATGATGCATTCGACATTTATTACTACTCCGATTATGTAGTAGGCATTATGGGTAAATTGTGTGCTCCTGCCAGGGATGATCGTATAGCCAAATTGAAGGAAACGAAAGAAATCGTGCCATTGTTTAAGTATGTTTTCACTTTATTTAAGAATATGAAAAAGGTTTAGTGTTCAACAAAAATGTACTGAAGAAAAACTTAGTTTAAAAGTGATATATAACACAGCATGTTTTATTCATAAGTTTCTATACCACTGCTGTTTCAGATAAATGAATTTATTTGTAAACTTGATTACATATCTATTAATACAAAATCATACAAATTTACATGTACATATATCTTGAAGCATGCTTTTTTACGGTGTTGTAATGAATATATGTTGTGTTCATTTGCATAATGGAAGAAGGATGTTATGATTTTAATTCCAAAATGGAATGAAATAGATTATCCAGCAATTGATTTAAACAACATTTTTTCTCTCTCAAAACTAGTGGTCAAAATTACTCCGAAATTGTTTTCTATGTCAGAATTGTACAGATCATGAATAAAATGTAATTTATTTATGTCACAGTTTTCAGTGTTAAAGTCATAAGTATTTAATGATGAATGTGAAAACTTCAGGGAAATATTTGAAGTTCTTGACCTGATGAGGATGGATATGGCTAACTTCACCATACAACAGATTAGACCATACATACAGCAACAATCAGTAGAATTCGAGAAGAAAAAGTTTGAAGAATTTATAATGAAACAGCAAGGTTTGTGTTGTAATGTTTACAAATCGTAACATTAGAGGGCAGTTTGATTTTTGTGCCCCCACTATAGGGGGGGGGGGGGGCGGCATTTAGATTTACCCTTGTCCGTCTGTCCATCTGTCTGTTCCCTTTTTGTGTCGCACGTAGCTCAAAAAGTAATTGGCCTAGAGTCATGAAACTTTGTTGCTCAGCATGTCAGCATGTGTAGTTGTGCACCTGGGTATTTTTGTGTGGATATAATTAGTATTTTTAGAGTTATTGCCCTTGACTAAGTAAAAATTTGCAATTTTCAACTTGTGTCACATGTAACTAAAAACGTATTTGACCTAGAATCATGAAATCTTACAAGAATGTTGCTCAGCATGTGTAGTTGTGCACCTGGGTATTTTTGTGTGGATATATTCAGTATTTTTAGAGTTATTGCCCTTGAATTAGTAAAAATTTCCAATTTTCAACTTGTGTCGCATGTAACTAAAAAAGTATTTGACCCATAGTCATGAAACCTTAAAGAAATCTTGCTCAGCATGTGTAGTTGTGCACCTGGGTATTTTCGTGTTGATATTTTTAGTATTTTTAGAGTTATTGCCCTTGACTTATTAAAAATGTACAATATTTAACTTGTGTTGCACATAACTCAAAAAGTTTATGACCTGTAGGCCTGAAAGTTTACAAGAATGTTGGTCAGCATGTGTACTTATGCACCTTGGGGTTTTCTTGTGGATTTATTCAGTATTTGTAGTATTTGCCCTTTACTTAATAAAATATTTTTAGTTTTCAACTTGGGCACATGTAGCCAAAAAATATTAGACCTAGAGACATAAGATTGACAAATTGGTGGAGTGTGGGGGCACCCTTGTCCTATGAACACATATCTAGTTAAATGATCAAATCCCCAGTAAACACCCCCATAATACATTTTGGCGTAAAATCATTATGATCACATCAACAAAGTTCTGACAGATAGACATATTGGAGCTAAATGATTGGCTTATTTCCACTGCCCCATTAGGGTTAATTGTGGCTGGCTTTTAATTGACTGATGCATAATAGTTGTGCATTTTTAGCTCACCTGTCACAAAGTGACAGGGTGAGCTTTTGTGATCGCTTTTCGTCCGTACGTCCGTCGTCCATCCGTCGTCCGTCCGTAAACTTTTACTTTAAATGACATCTCCTCATAAACCACTAAGCCAATTTCATCCAAACTTCACAGGAATGTTCCTTTGGTGGTCACCTTTAAAAATTGTTCAAAGAATTTAATTCCAGAACTCTGGTTGCCATGGCAACCGAAAGAAAAAACTTTAAATATCTTCTTTTAAAAAACCATAAGAGCTAGAGCTAAGATATTTGGCATGAAACATCTTCTAGTGAGTGTCTACCAAGTTTGTTCAAATAAAGGCCCTGGGGTCAAAATTGGCCCCGCCCCGGGGGGTCATTGATTTTCCCTATATGCATATAGTAAAAACTTATAAATCTTCTTTTAAAGAACCCAAAGAGCTAGAGCTAAGATATTTAGCATGAAATCTGTTCTAATGGGTGTCTACCAAGTTTGTTCAAATAAAAGCCCTGGGGTCAAAATTGGCCCCGCCCCGGGGGGTCATTGATTTTCCCTATATGCATATAGTAAAAACTTAAAAAATCTTCTTTTAAAGAACCCAAAGAGCTAGAGCTAAGATATTTAGCATGAAACATGTTCTAATGGGTGTCTACCAAGTTTGTTCAAATAAAAGCCCTGGGGTCAAAATTGGCCCCGCCCCGGGGGTCATTGATTTTCCCTATATGCATATAGTAAAAACTTATAAATCTTCTTTTAAAGAACCCAAAGAGCTAGAGCTAAGATATTTAGCATGAAATATGTTCTAATGGGTGTCTACCAAGTTTGTTCAAATAAAAGCCCTGGGGTCAAAATTGGCCCCACCCCAGGGGGTCATTGATTTTCCCTATATGCATAAAGTAAAAACTTAAAAAATCTTCTTTTAAAGAACACAAAGAGCTATGGCTAAGATATTGAGCATCTGAAACATGTTCTAATAGGTGTCTACCAAGTTTGTTCAAATAAATGCCCTGGGGTCAAAATTGGCCCCGCCCCAGGGGGTAATTGATTTTCCCTATATGCATATAGTAAAATCTTAAAAAATCTTCTTTTAAAGAACCAAAAGAGTTAGAGCTAAGATAGTTTGCATGAAACATGTTCTAATAAGTGTCTACCAAGTTTGTTCAAATAAAAGCCCTGGGGTCAAAATTGGCCCCACCCCAGGGGGGTCATTGATTTTCCATATATGCATGTAGTAAAAACTTAAAAAATCTTCTTTTAAAGAACTCAAAGAGCTATGGCTAAGATATTTAGCATCAAACATGTTCTAATAGGTGTCTACCAAGTTTGTTCAAATAAAAGCCCTGTGGTCAAAATTGGCACCGCCCCGGGGGTAATTGATTTTCCTTATATGTGTATGGCAAAAACTTAAAAAATCTTCTTTGAAAAAACCCAACTAGCTAGAGTTAAGATATTAAGCATGAAACATCTTTTAGTGAGTGTCTACAAAGTTTGTTCAAATAAAAGACCTGGGGTCAAAATTGGCCCCGCCCCGGGGGTCATTGATTTTCTTTATATGTGTATAGCAAAAACTTAAAATCTTCTTTGAAAAAACCCAAATAGCTAGAGTTTAGATATTAAGCATGAAACATCTTCTAGTAAGTGTCTACAAAGTTTGTTCAAATAAAAGCCCTGGGGTCAAAACTGGCCCGGTCCCAGGGGTGTCATTGTTTTTAACTATATGTGTATAGTAAAAACTTTAAAAAAATCTTCTTTTAAAAAGCCCAATGAGCTAGAGCTTAGATGTTTAGCATGAAACATCTTCTTATGGGTGTCTACCAAGTTTGTGCAAATAAAAGCCCTTGGGTTAAATTGGCCCTGCAACGTTGGGGGGTTGGGGGGGGGGCTATATACAGGTGAGCGACCTCAGGGCCATCATGGCCCTCTTGTTAGCCAGACTTCTCAAAGAAATAATCTGTGTGTCATAATATTTTGTTGAAGTTTTTGGTTCAACTTCATGTGCTTCTTCATTTCTCATCAACTAGTCAAGGTAATCACATGAAACTTCACAAATGTCTTCATATGTAGTGAAGGTATTCACTAGAAATTGTTCTCAAGTGAAGGTCATAAGACCTTTAACTCAGGTATGTTATTTGACTGAATTATAGCACCTTGTGATCTTAGAAAATTCTTCATTAGGTTTTGCATGCGAGATTAACTCTACAGCCATTGGAGGTATTTTCTTTAAAATTCACATTTTTCTTTAGGATTTTGATTGTCAATCAATATCCAAATCCTACGAGTTTTCCATTAATTATGAATGAAATCTTTTCCTCTGCAAATTATTACATTATTCAGTCCTTTATTTTACAATCAAGTATTGAGAGTAGTCAAGATCTTTCATACAGTTAGCATGTTTAAATGATTTTGGATTTTTCATTGTGTATCATGTTTTATGTACAGTCCAACCTCGATTATTCGAAGTTCCCGGGACTGAAAATTTACTTCGAAAAATCGATGGGTTCGAATAATCCAAATCCGAACATAGTGATAGACGAAAACTACACCACTTGACCATATCGCAAATTCTAGCGACATTAAATGTTTACAACTCATCTGTTACCGGTAATCAATCGAGAAAAACAAATAAACAATGATAAATGTTTAAAATATTTTTATTGTTTACTTAAACATAACTATTTCCAGATTCTGTAGCACATATAGCGTATAAGTTAATATAAACATGCATGAACATTAAAAATATCGCTGTCATCCTCCGCATGAGAGAGAAAAAAAACATCGGGCACGGCGCAGGATTTAAATAATAGATATACATGTAGATGCATTACAAATGTATTCAACATTATACAAGTAATATTAATATTTTATCTTCGTCAAAATATAAACAAGCAACTTGAAAAGTCATATTATTTTTCACTTCTAAATGTAATTTTCACAGACACATTTCGGTAATATTAAACATCCAAGATTGCTCAGCCAGAATATCTTGTGCTTACGTAGACATATTGCACTGATTTGAAATAGAAACTGGGAATTCACATTTATAAAGAAAAACATGACACAGTTCGCTAGTTGTTTGTTTTTATTTGTTTATTTTTTCAATCCATTCCTTAATTAAAATCTTAATTTGAACAGATTTAACCGTCCAATTAATATCACAGTTTATTTTCATTTGTTCAGCTTTAATCATCAATTAAAATAATTACATAACACATATTTTGAACACTTTTAACCGTCCAATTAAAAGCGTACAATTAATGTTCGGTAATTAAAGTTGAAAATGTACACGCAAATCGTTATTATCACGATTAACTAAATACACCCACCGTTGTTAGAAGTTTTTCACAAGTCGGGACGGTCAGCGAGTCAATCAGTGCCAATTAGTCTGGCTTCGAATAATAGGTGTGAAATTCTTATATAATGATATAATCGGGACCGAAATTTTGCTTCGAAAAAAAGGAGGTATTCGGATAATGCATTTCGAATAATACGTTGGTATTTATATTAGATTATATAGAGATGAAAACGGGACCGTAGATCAACTTCGGATAATGCCGGGTATTCGAATAATGGGTTGTCGAATAACCGGGGTCGGACTGTAGTTCAGTAAGTAAACGATATTACAATAAAAGTTAAAAACTAATTTTCTAGAGGCTGGCATAGACGGTCTTGAGCTTACAAAGTGTTGGTTGGCAAGAAGTTTTGAGAACTTAAAGTCAAGGCCAGTAGCTCCTGAAGAGGAAGTTTCCCAACCAAACATGCCCACCCCAGCAGCTATTCTAAATGGTGCTTATATGGAATTATTGCAGTGGGATACTAGCAGAATTTTTCCAGAGGTATGCTATGTAATTACAATGTTTACAATAAGTTTAAAGTAAAGTAGATACAATATTTAGTGAATGTTACATTATTATGCTCCCCGAAAAATTTGGGGGGGAGCATATTGTCGACTGGTTGTCCGTCCGTCAGTCCTTACAAACCCAGAGGTACTTGTGTGACTTGGAGAACAATGGGTAACAGTAAATTCTCTTTGATCCTATTCATTCCGTTTTTACTTGTGTGTCTTTTTTTAAGCCTTGTGTGACTAAAAATGGCCAAAAAGATCAAAGGAAAAGTCACATAAGTACCATTTTGTGAGTACATCCGCTCGTCCGTATGTACGTCCCGAATTCGTGTCCGGCCCATAACTTTGGTATTTGAAGTCTGATTTTACAACTATTTCACAGAAATGATCACCATATTCAGACGACGTGTCAGGCACAACATTTGGGTTGCTTCCTTGAAGGTCAAGGTCACAGCATGACCTTTAAGCAAAATCTTGTCCGGCCCATAACTTCATTATTTGAAGTTTGATATTACAACTATTTTACAGAAATGATCACTTTATTGAGAGGACGTGTCGCACACATCATTTGGGTCACTACCTTGAAGGTCAAGGTCACAGCATGACCTTGAACAAAAATCGTGTCCGGCCCATAACTTGGTTATTTGAAGTTGGATTTTACAGCTATTTCACAGAAATAATCACCATATTGAGACAACATGTTGTTCGGAACATTCGGATCGCTACCTTGAAGTTCAGTTCAAGGTCACAGCATGACCTTGCAGCAAAATCATGTCGGGCCCATAACTTTGTTAATTGAAGTCTGATTTTACAACTTTTTCCCAGAAATCATCACCATATTAAGACGATGTGTCGCCCGCAACACTTGAAGCAAAATCGTGTCCAGCCCATAGCTTGGTTTTTTGAAGTTGGATTTTACAACTATTTCACAGAAATGATTACCATATTGAGACGATGTGTCACGCGCAAGTCGGTAGATAGATCTAATTGAGTAGAAGTGCAGTGCAAAGAACAGTAACTCTGCATTGCCTAAATTTGGAATTATCACACTTTGAACTTTGTCTAGAACATAACTCTGAAACTACAAAAGATACTCTTCTGTGTCCAAATCCTAGTCGGGGAGCATCACCCGGTTTAACCGGCTCTTGTATTTTATGGATGTGGTATAATTACAGCAGGCAAAGTTGTGGCAGCAACATATTTTTCATACTAATTGATTGATATTCTATTCTAATATATACTTGTATGATTTATTTAAAGGCTCTATATGCCTCAAAAATGTTTTTATTACTGATAAAAGTAAAAAAACTGCTCTGGTTATATTTTGCTATTATAATTACAAGTTATTACATATTCAGCACTATTTTCTTCAAGTAATAAGGATCTAACATGCCCTAAACCCATCATTTATTTAGATGGCAAAGTAAAAATGATGTGCAAGTGGAATTTCGTGTTATACAGTGCACTCCGGATACAAGGAGATTGTTGGGACTTTGCATGATTCCTCGTTATAAACAGGTCTTGTTATAACCGGAACATAACAAAATGTGAAATCTGACACCGTCGAGCATAATTTATTTCTACTTTTGCTTTTGCAAACATCTTTTTTAAAGAGTACAGAATGGGAGGTAACTCTTTGCACTCAGAAGTATTTGTTTTATTTAAATAAACATGTATATAAATATATCTAGCTATCATAGAATTTAAACAAAACATATGAAAACACATAGTACTACGTTCAACCAGGCGGGTTTTTATTAACATGTACATTTCAAAGTTCGTTTTCAAAAGTCACATAGTGTATTTCATAGTGTATTTCTCACAAACACCGAATAACACTGCAAGAAATTAGCCGTTTCCTTTGTGCTAATCACTCAATAAAATTGTTTTGTTATGACATTTCGTCAAATAAAGGACAATTTAGCCCGGAGCGCTGACAAAACAAGGCGCTAATTGCTCAATAATTTCAATTTCTTCCTTAATCACCATTGTTTTTCTCAAGGTGACAAACTGATGCAGACAAAGTGCCAATGAAGTGATCACGTTAACTGAAAAATATGCATGAGACGTCAAATATATGTATGTTGTAACCGATATCTCGCTAAAACCGATCTCGTTATAAATGATAAAAAATGAAAGGAAAACAGCTGGGACACAGTAGAATGTACTTTATAAGCGGTATCTCGTTAAAACCGATCTCGTTGTAAGTGGAGTAGACTGTATACATAATTTTACTATCATCTCCTAACCAATAGTGTGGATTAGCATGATTCCATTGTATACTGTGGTACTCTTGACGGTATATTTATGTTTCAGACCCTTGTATTAGACCAAAGTAGATATCTTGAGTTAAGAGAACAGACACTGCGTCTCACAATGGTTACATCAATATTACTGGT